CTGAGAGGCGACAATTCTTCCCTGGATATGTTAGAGGGTGAATACCGCTGCTACGCCTCCAACAGTCTGGGGACCGCCATGACACAAACCGTCAAAGTCAACGTAGAGCGTGAGTCACAAACTTACTGTAGGCACACAAAGGCCGTCAGTGTGCTCTGAGGTTCCCACCTGCTGATGCACAGATGTCACATGATCATAAAATCACACACACACTTCAGTGAGTCAGTGAGGTTGATCGGGGCCACCTGTTCTGCTCGCTCATCTCAAGTTGCCACGGCAACCATTTCCCGGAGACAGCGCTGTGACGTCACTCAGTAGGGAGGATGTACGGTGGGTGTGGAGGATGAAGCCGATGGCTGCGGTCAGCGTGCACACAGATGAAATATTATACTGTATTGGCTCTTTCTGCCTCTCACCTCCGCCGTGGTTTTGATTGCAGTTCAGTTCTTTCAGATTTTATTTCCTCTGCTTTGTTGTGAGATTTACTTCCATAATTTGTTGTTTTTCTACCTCACAGTTTATCGACACTTTTGTTTCTGTGATTGAATATTGCTGCGTGACTTCAATTAATTTGGGAAACTTCAATGTTTACAATCAGCTCAGCCAGCGTTTGTAAAGGTTTTGATGACTAAATGTCAGTTTGGACAGGCAGCATGTGATCGAGGTATTTTTATTTACCCAAAGCACCAACAGAAATCTGCTTTTAGCAAATAAAACTTTTAAACAATGTTTCAGAGCAAAATAAGGAACTGGCTGATGAAACCTGAGAATATGAGATTCAAGTTAATCATGTGACCCAAAAACAGATGATGTCACTCTGTGTCCACATGATTGTAAATATGCAGCTATTGTTTCAGCTCCTCTTAATTACAAATGAACCCTGGCATTGTTTTTATATCATTTAGGCATTTAAAGTCTATTATCCTGTGGAGTGTATCTTTACAGACACTTCACAGAACTGTATCTTCTTCCTTCGTTGTATTTTTTTATTTTGCGTCACTATTTCTTCATTGTTACCTGCACAAGTATGAACTTGTGAACTTGTATTGTGCTGCTTTGTGTTTCAGCTCAGCCAGTTCTCATGAAACAACAAGTCGAGCGTGCGCAAGGACTCGTGGGACAGAGTATGGTCCTGTCCTGCAACCCTCCAAAAAGCTCGCCTCCTCCCAGCATCCACTGGATGAACATAAGTGAGTGTGCCGATCTGTTTCCTGTCCCGTCCGTCAGCTGCCAGCCTCTGTGACACACAGACTC